TTTATCTACATATTGAGGTATTTCAGTAGATGTCGTATTGCAATTTACATACAAGCGTTATTTTATGAAATTGATTAAGTAATCCAGTTGGTAATTGATAATGACGTCATAATTGAAAAGAAAAAGAAAATTCCGCATTTTTAATTAAGCACCGCTTAATACGATGTAATGTTAATATTCTGGGTATACACGGGGTGTTACACCTTATATGTTACAAAGGTTTATTCCGAGTTTAAAGAATTGGAATAAAAAGGTGTTTGGTCATATTCAAAGGAAGAAGGAAGGTCTTTTGAAAAGGTTAGAAAAAATTCAGATTCAAAGAACTCAATCAGATTCAGAGAGACTAGGCTGGTTGGAGGATTATTGTCAGAAAGAGATTACCAATATTCTAAATGAGGAAGAGAAGTTATGGTTTCAAAAGTCTAGACAGCAGTGGATTAAAAATGGGGATCGGAATACTAAGTTTTATCATCTTAGTACAATTGTCCGGAGGAATAACAACAAGATAACTAGGCTGAAGGATGATGCCAATAGGTGGGTTTCTAATCGAGAGGAGTTGAAATCCATTGCTTGCAATTTTTACTGGAAGCTTTTTTCTGAAGACATTGCTGTCAGGAAGTGGCTGGTTTCAGATAATCTTTGGCCCCAATTGACTGAAGATGAAATTTTGAATCTGGGAAAATGGCCTTGTCAGCAGGAGATTCATAGTGCAGTTTTTGATATCGGTTCTCTAAAAGCTCCGGGGATGGATGGCTTTCCTGCAATTTTTTTTCAGAAAAATTGGGATATGTTTAAGGATCAAATTTTTAAGCTTGTGTATGCTGTTTGGGAGTATCCACAACTTATTGCTTCTATTAATGCCACTCTTCTTGTCCTTATACCTAAAAATAAGGCACCTTCTCATATTACTCAGTTTAGGCCGATCTCTTTATGCCTTGTGATTTATAAAGTTATCAGCAAAATTGTAGTTATGAGATTGAAGCCAATTATGATGAAGATGATTTCTCCGGTCCAGGCTAGTTTTGTGCCTCATAGACATATTCGGGACAATATCATAATTGTTCAAGAAACTATTCACACTATGCACCGGATGAGGGGGAATAAGCCTTTCATGGCTTTGAAGATTGATCTTGAGAAGGCTTATGACAGATTAAACTGGAATTGTTTGAGAAATACTATGCAGGAAATGAAGATCCCTGATATCTTGGTTGAAATTATTATGCAAGCAGTTTCTTCCTCCAAGATAAATATCTTGTGGAATGGTAGTCTCACTGATGAGTTTCAACCCTCCAGATGGATAAGACAAGGTGACCCATTATCACCTTATCTTTTTGTTATGGCAATGGAAAAATTGTCCCATATTATTGATACGGCTGTCAAAGGTGGATTGTGGAAGCCCATTCGAGTGGGTAAGGATGGACCTAAGCTATCTCATTTGCTTTTTGCAGATGATCTTATGTTATTTGATGAGGCTAGTGTTGAGCAGATCCAGGTTGTTATGAAATGTCTGCAGCTTTTTGGGGAAATATCAGGACAAAAGGTTAGTATACAAAAGACAAGTATTTTCTTTTCCAAGAATACTTCAGAGGAGGTTGCTAATGCTATAACAGAAACTTGCAATTTCAAGAGGGTCAGGAATGTTGGGAGGTATCTTGGTGCCTGGATGCAGCATGGTAGGGTCACTAAAGATTCATATAATGTAATTGTTGAGAGAGTAAAAGATAAACTCTCGGGATGGCACTCTAAATGCCTGTCTCGGTCAGGTAGAGTTACCTTCTCTCAGTTAGTTCTTGCTACTATTCCATATTTTCAAATGCAGGCTGGTGGTTTACCGAAATCAGTTTGTATGGAAATTGAAAAAATCCAAAGAGGTTTCATCTGGGGCGATACTGAAAACAACCGCAAGATGCATCAGGTTGGTTGGGATATAATTACCAAACCAAAATTAAAGGGGGGGGGGCTTGATTTGAAGAAGCTAAATTGTATGAATGAGGCTTTTATGGCTAAGAATGCTTGGTCTATTTTCACTCAGCCCAATGCTCTCTGGGTTCAGATCCTGAAAGCAAAGTATGCGCATGGCAGGGAAGGGGCTGGCATTTTTCGATTTAAGCAAGAAGATTCAAGGATCTGGAGGGATATTTGCAGTGCGTGGAAATAGCTAGAAGAGGTTTTAGTGAGGAAAATGGTGATGGTTCCTCAATTAAGTTTTGGAAGGATAGATGGGTGGGTAATACCAGGAGACTTTTGGATCAGGCTTCTCATCTTATTCCTTGGGATGAGATAAATAAAACGGTTAATGGATATGTTAATCAGTTTGGTGGTTGGAATCTTGATAGCTTGCGAAGATGGGCTGCCTTCTGAGGTACTTGATCGAATAAAAAGCTTCCTTCCCCCTACTCAAATGATGGTGCTGATCAGCTCTTTTGGTGTATTCCTGGCTACCCGAAATTGTGTGTTAAGGGTCTGTATTCTGCATTTACAGATCCAGGAAGTAGTCAAAGTGCATCCCCTGATTTATGGAAGGTTATTTGGAACTGGTTGGGGCTTCAAAGGATCAAGTTTTTCTTTTGGAAGGTGGGTCATGATAGCCTACCCACTAGGAAAAAGTTGCATCGTTTTCAGCTAGGGAGTCCTCTGTGCCCAGTTTGCATGCTTGGTGAAGAAAATTCTCTTCATCTGTTACGAGATTGTGCTAGTATTAAAGCCATTTGGCTTCGGATCTCTCCTGGATTGGCTGATACCAGGTTTTTTAATTTAAATTTGCAAGAGTGGTTGGTTGTTAATTTAAAGCAGGCGTCTTCTAGCTTGGGGGATTTTCCTTGGGCAATTATTTTTGGCATAACTTGTTGGAAAGGTTGGATTTGGAGAAATGAAATTATCCATAATTCTGGCTTTGTAGATAACAGGTACAAGTTAGAGGGGATTCATGCCATGGCTGTTGATATTATATCAGCCAACGTTCCTGATAATGTTAATCGTGCTGGCAGATTGTTGGATATGGATTTGATTAGGTGGAACCCCCCTGAGGAAGGTTGGATAAAGCTTAATACTGATGGTGCTTCTAAAGGTAACCCAGGTATGGCAGCTTGTGGGGGTATATTAAGAGGTCCAGATGGTAGATGGTTAGATGCTTTTTCCTATAGAATAGGATTTTGTAATGCTATTACAGCCGAATTGTGGGATGTTCTTAAAGGTTTGGAAAGGGCTTGGGAAAATGGGTGGAGAAACATAATTTTAGAAAGTGACTCGGCATCGGCTATCACTTTGCTCACCAAGTCTGGTGATGCATCCTGTGAGTCGCATTTAGTGACTTGGATACGGGACTGGCTCTCAAAGAATTGGATTGTTCGTTTGGCTCATACTTATAGGGAAGGAAATGGCTGTGCGGATTGGCTTGCTAATCTTCCTTTGCATAACCTGGAACAAGAAGACTTCTCTATATTTCAGACCCCTCCTCCTGAAATTAGATGGTTGTTTTTTTTTTCTGATTTTAGCTCTGTTCATAGGGCTAAACACTCTTTGATGTAATTCTTTGGTTTTCTGTTGGGCATTGCCCATTCACCAAAAAAAAAAAAACAAACAAACATTATCAAACAGATTTTTTTAATTTTTTTATTCTAAAAATTAAAAAATTATTTTTAGAAATATAATTTAAACATATCTTTAAGAAAGAAAAGAGAAAGGGAAGCTTAATTCTAATTCTTTTATTCCAACCAATTCCTTCACAACTTAGTGATTGCATGTCCAAACTCCTTACATGATTATAATTTCAAAATTTCTCACAACATAGGTTTCTCTCTGTTAGGTTAAGATGAACCTAAGAGGGAAAACATGAAGAACAGAGAAAAGAATTCTGGAAAGTTTTATTCAATAGTTGTTTTTCAATTGTACAACTCAATCCTTTTATACAAATTCACCTACCACCGATAGTTCCTAACAATCGACTAACTAATGCCAGCTCAATGTCCACGTGTCCATCAACTAACTAATACCACCTATTTAATACATGCAACCACTAATTAGTATTACACATTATATGTACTCAAGATACAAAGTTAGTCAAGCGGGTGGAATGCTTCCTCTCCCTAGCAGATCTCCTTACTGTAACACTCTCTCTATCGGTAAAATAGATTTCTGGACGGGAGGAATTGAAGTGTTTTTGTTTTTTTTCCAAAGGGAATCGATGGGATCTTAGAAACTTTTTCCAAGCTAGTCTTCATGCAAGGGTAGATTGGAACTATTTTGAAATTTCTCCTCCTACCCACGACAGTCATCAGAATTTGCAGAGATTGGGTGAGGTGAGATGGTCCTATACGTACATTCAAGCAGAGGCGAACCTATTTGGTCGCCTATGTCCGCACTTGCGGACATGAATTTTTTTTAAATATAGTAGTCAAATATGATGTTGGTTAGATTAGGTTTTGTTAATTTGGATATATAATGAGGGATGGAAAGAAAATGAATGGAATACAGTCGGATGGAATGGGATGACATATATTTTATTGAATATTTTATGATGTCATATAACAAATCAGCTTGATTAAAAACAAAAGGTGTTGGGAATAATTTTTTATGTTAAGTTGAAGTTTTTTTCTTCTTATTTTTTAATGCATTTGAAATTTTCTTTACAAAAAAATTTCAGGGCCGCTGCCCCCGAACCCCCGTCACTAAACGTGCAGACATAAAAAATATCTCCTGGGTCTTCCACTACATTCAAGCCTATAATAAATGAGTTGTATCCATGCATGCACCCCGTATGCAGCCAGTGTATTATCATCAAATGGTATTTAGAGCGCAGCTTGCAATAATTAATCGCGAAAATAATATATTATTTTATATAAATAATCAAGGCTAATTCTCATAGTGGATTAACTTTTCCTTTTATTAACAATCCTTATGTAATTGCAGTGCTAAGACAAAACTTGAAATACCTCCTACTCGTAAATAACAATTCAAAAGCATCCATAACTCATGGTGCTACTATACAAATACTTGAGTCAACAAATAAACATATTATTTAATAGTGGCATATACAACCCCTATGCTCATCACAAATAACAACACAATCCATCAAATCTAGTCACAATAGAGTCTCCTCATGGAAAACTGAATAATCATAATATGCATGGCTCATAAAAATAATAAAATCTCTATGCCGACCTCTTGCCTTTATCAATGTCCGTCTCACGAACGTCATCTACAGAAAAATATGCCCCAGAAAGGATGAGAATTAGAAATCTCAGTAAGACCCGTCCTCAAGGGATCCTCCACCATGTCATGCAATATATCAAGATAAGGATAATGGCTATACCGGGCCATTTATAGCAATAAACAATGCAGCATATAAAATAAGCATGTCATGCAATATATCAAATGAGTGTGCAATGCCGCATATGTCAATGTCTTGTGTGTATGCATCCTTAAACATACATCATGTGGGTGCGCAATAATAATCCTACTGGCCAGAGAACAATGTAGGTATTACGCACATCTGCAACCTACCCAAAAGTATAAGGAGTTCACCTTATACCCACACTACAAGAGTTCTACCCTTACATGGAATCAACCATGCTCAGGAACCCCACACAGGTGTTGTGCACAGTATCCCACCTACATTTACATGTAGCAATGCACTATAACAAAATCCAACTCAACAAAATATCCAATAGTCATAACATCAACATATATAATTTAAAAAAAAAACATATCATACACATAAACCAATCCCCCGTGGGGTTTGGTAGAACAATAATGGATAAAACTCAGGACCGAAAGCTTACCTATCAAGCTAAATCCTCCAACACTAACTCGGTATCAATCGAGTAGTCCACAGACACACAGTCCGACAAGTAAAGCCTATCTTGTGTTAAAAATATTATTAATAATCAGATTCCCAAATTTCATGACATTTGGACTACTTTTTCTTTTTCGTTTAGTGACTGCAGGCTTCTCCTAATGCCCTCAAACACAAACTGTCTTTACCATTTTTAAAACTGAAATTCTAACTCTTTACCAAAAATTGTAAGATTTTACTATGTTATACTAGACATCACAAGCTTTCCAACGACATATTTTATGTCTCATTTTGAAACACCCTCCCTTGTATGCATCCAAGAGAGTTGTTTGCTAAGCGAAATTAGAGTTCGTTCGTCATATTTTAAGTACTGAAAAATCATTTTGATGTTGCTAATCAAAACTTGTGATTGAAATCAGTTTCCTTACGAAAATCAGAGTGTACTTTCAAAATTTCTTAACGAGCTGAAAATATTAATTTTCTCGCAGACATTGCTGTCTTGTAAAATTCGTAAAAAAATCAAGTTCGTTTGCATATAAAATAGAAATAGTACGTCAGGGGCTTCGCGTGCATATAAAATAATAGTAAGTCGGAGTTCGTTTGCCACTCGTAACATGACTCACAAAGTGCTCGCAAAACTGTTTAAAAAAAACAGCACTTAATAAAACATCGGAAATTATTTTTGCAAAACGTTTCTAGAATTTGTTTCCAAAATACTTGCTGATCATAAAATTCTTAAAACAACAATAAAATCATAATCCAACAGTAATCCAAAATTTTCATTTTAATACAGTTATCCATCAAATAAACAGCAACACCAAAGTCCAAACAACAGCACATAACAGTAAATATCCATATAATCAAGTATTCATATGCTCTTCCGTCCTCCTGCCATTTTGTAAAAATAGCAGCCCCAAAGGGGTGAGAAAAAACCCAGTAGTGTGATAACAAAACCAATAATGCAACAATACTAACTAGATACAGAATTACAAAGCAGCCGCGTCATGAAGTTAAATTCGTCAGATACTAAGTTTTATCATATTGCGTATATAACGCCAAAAATACTAATCAAGATGCGTATATATCGCCAAAATATACTAGTCAAGATGCGTATATAACGCCAAGAGTACGTTTACAGCACCGTCGTGCCTGTACTTATCAAGTATAGTGGAGGTCCCTCCCTTAATGGCTCCGCAGAGGGTTCCAACTGTAACCTAAGCGGACTGAAGCCAAGTGTCCCATACCCTGGTACCGCAGGGATGCCTACATGACGCGTGCTCAAACGTATGCATAGTTTTCGAAACATTTTCCGTTATAAACATGAAACTTATGCATGTATGCTATGTCATAGATCACACGCAACCATACAGTTAAAAATTATGAATGCGCATGCATGACTAGATAGTAATCAAGATACATATATCTCATGGAGTCCAAGATCAAGATGCTGAATCATAATTAATTCTCAAAACAAGTATATCGCCAAAATATACTAGTCCAGATGCGTATATAACGCCAAGAGTACGTTTACAGCACCGTCGTGCCTGTACTTATCAAGTATAGTGGAGGTCCCTCCCTTAATGGCTCCGCAGAGGGTTCCAACTGTAACCTAAGCGGACTGAAGCCAAGTGTCCCATACCCTGGTACCGCAGGGATGCCTACATGATGCGTGCTCAAACGTATGCATAGTTTTTGAAACATTTTCCGTTATAAACATGAAACTTATGCATGTATGCTATGTCATGGATCACACGCAAACATACAGTTAAAAATTATGAATGCGCATGCATGACTAGATAGTAATCAAGATACATATATCTCATGGAGTCCAAGATCAAGATGCTGAATCATAATTAATTCTCAAAACAAGTATCCAGCATTTTAAACCATGAGCGGAATCATATACGAAATTTCCAAATCGAGGCACAAGAGAGCAACGTTCACAACTCATGCTCTAGCTAGCAGTCACAAAAGGTAATGTCAGCAGACACTTACCTCACATGTCACCATTAATTTACCAGGCAGCAGCTAACTGATCCAAGGTCTCACAAAGTATGCGCACCTATAGGTATATACAAGCGTAATTCAATCAGAATACGTTCTAAACTTTTCCTATAAATTACCAATGAGTTTCCAAGTTTAAGTGTTCATGCACCCATTCGGCCACCAAGGCTATTTTCCCCAAAAAATATTCTAACTTTAATCTAAGCTTTACCAACGTTAAACAGCGTGAATTTCTAATGTTCCCAACCAAGACAGATTTGGTTATAACACAACGTTTTACAAGACTTTATTCATAAAATTCTTGTTTCTCTACCCATACAGTGCGCTAAAGAGGACTCTCTTTATCATGCTGTATTTTAGCTTAAATGGAGCTTAGGACACCTCTAGATTCACTAAAACAGAATTGATTTTATTATACAATGGTTCATGACGTTAATTCTAAATTTAGCTCAACAAGACTAAAGGATGCGAGAAGGGAAGCTTGACAACATGCTGAACCTTTTAAATTGGAATAAGGCTTAGCTCATAATAAAGTTTACCAAGTCAGAATCGATTTTATCAAGGCAAAACATCAAGAATGACTTATTTCAAAACTCCAATAATCCATGTATGGAGCGCTACAAGAGAAGCCTAAGCATGCAGTCCTTATTACTTTGACTTACAAAAATTGAAGATGCATTAAAATATAGCCAAGCAGTCCCACGATTTAACAAAAACCATCCCCTAATTTGTTTTCATACTTACAAGATAAGGTCCAAGGGTACAAGATGGCAGAATCTACAAGGGAATAAAATAAAAGAAAACTACATCCTAAGCATGCTTCACAACCCGAATATAGGAGGGAGAAGAGGTTCGACATTTGTGTTTACCTCTATTGCAAGCACACAAGGAAAGTCGAACAAGACAGAGAACAACACCTCAGTCCCTTAGCTCCACCAAAACAGCAAGCTTTACTCCTCACGCTGATGACCGTGCGCACGAAAATAAAATGAGGACAGAACAGATTAACTTGACTTAATACCTACATACAATGGCACATCTCCTTTAACCGAATGTGGTAAGAGAATACAAGGAGAATAAACTATTCACTACCTCATTGAGTTAAGGACTTCGGCTGAGCAAGGGAGAAGAATACGAAAGCCTTATGTTGGGTCTTCACTAGGAGTCCACGGTTTGAGACGAGGACATAGGAGGAACGTGAAATTATTTCTTGGTCTTCACTCTCTATTTGTGCTACGGTTTCAAGAGGAAAGAGAGGGAAGCATGCGGCTGAGGTTTATTTCAACAAGGGAAACCAGAGTTCAAGGTTCTTCTTCTTCAAAGGTGCTCACAAGATGGAAAAGATAGAGGGGAATATGTGGCTAGAATGAATCTGTTTTAACGAAGCAACCCCTCCAATTCAACACTCACCAACAGCGCTTGGAATGGTGTAGGAATGAGGCTGGAAGGCTGATATTATAACAAGCAAGGTCAGGAAATTTAATTTGAATTCTTCTCTTACATTTGGGCGCACAAAAGAGAGCAAGAGAGGGAGGCAATTCTGCCCAATGAAGGGACATGCAAGGTGACTCCTATGCACCTATTGGTTGCATGTAGAAAAAGGCTGAGTGAGGTTGTATATTGCAACAAGTAAAGCTAGCTTTTTGCACCACCTAGGCGCATGGAAAGGGAGGAATGGGAAGTGGCTGACTTGAGATATTAAATGGGAACTTAATCAGAATTTTTCTCTCCCCTTTTTACCTAACCTAGGCGCTCATGAGAGGGAGAAGACAAGGATAAGTTTTCTGCCATGTGGTGATTGTTTCCCAATCAAAGGCTGCCTTGTTGAATTACTTAGGATAGGATGATGATGATGCCTACAAAATTGGGCTGGATCAAAGACACCTCCTAATGCCCTAAGGCTTCGGCCTACAAGAATTAGAGATCAAAAATTTACAAGCCCATGAGTGGTACTAACTTAGATACCAACCCATAAAATTATAAATTCCCAAGTCTTTTAATTATTTTCAATTCCTTCTATTTGCTACTACTAAATTATTTCTTATATCATTCAACTAAAGTTTCACATGCCCAAAATAAATTCTCGCCTATTATTATAATTCAAGTAATTTCCCTAGCTCATTATTAATTCCACTCTAGAAGCCATATAAGTCAAAGCCAAAGCATGTATTGCACATAACTTGAATTTAACATAAGTACTAGTATTCCACCTAGCAATTCATATTTATATTTTCCTTATTACGTGGGATGTTACACTCTCCCCAACTTGTTTTGAAGTTTGTCCCCAAACTTCGTCTTACCATCCCAACATCTGCTTAAATCTACTGCTTAACACAATCATTCCCAAGGGAGGACCCCAAGCGAAAATCAAGGCACATGTTCCCAAGGAAGGACCCCAAGCGGACATCGATGCACATTTAGAATCAATACAGAAATTACATCAAAACCCATCAAGGTAAACACATCCAAAGCATATCAAAATAACCACATCAAAACATATCAAACCACCTTACCACAGTCCGTACACTATGGCGGAACACAAAGTAGGAGTGAAACTCACTAATATAGAGCTTACTAATAAAAGGTTCCGGCTATCAACATTTATAATGCAACTCATGGCCCTAGCACATATTTGGTTGGCGACCAAACAAATCCATTTCTAACACTTCTTCACTTTATAGCTTTAATAACAGTATCAGTGGGGCCTATGTGACAGAATTTTATTCACCTGATTTAGGGTTGCACCGCAAGGAGTAGGAAATAATAAACAGGCGTCTCCTCAATATACCTATATCATTACTCACTCCTCAAGCCACATTATACTATTACTCCGCTACTCATAGTTGAAAGTTTCCATATCCAATACAATTACCAGCCAGTGGCCTAAATCAAAATTCCTAAGAATGTAGGGGTTCATTTCAAGTGAAATACCATTACCTAATAATATTACATACAAAATTCTATTTTCATTATCCTTTAGGAAATCAAGCAAGCAAGACAGAGTACAGTGCATACTACATTTTTTAAATGAGAGGAATCTCCGTAAAATCACAAAATTTCTATCCTACCTTTCATACATATCATGTTAAGTGGTACCCCTCATGCAGTTCATCAAAACACCCATATGAGGAAACTTCCTCGAGCTTTTCGCTGTCCTAGGTACCTCAGATGTAATTGACTTCACTGATCAGAGGATCCATTAACCACGATATGAACTTTTCAATATCCATTAACCATGATATGAACTTTTCAATCATTGACACGCATTTCAATCTTGAGACAGCTATCAAACATGACCCATCAAAACAGACCTGATTTTTATAGTTCAAGTCCACAATAATTTCATTCAAGGTTCCTAGTTGTAATTGAATTGCTATTTATAATGACAGGCCACAAACACAGCACAGAACCTCTTGCAGAAAAAAAATCACCAAATCCAAAGTTCTCTTAAACTGAAAATTAATCTCATCAATACAAGCAGCATGCATCTAGACGATAGGTACATCTCAAATTAATACTAATATATCATGATGCACACAAAGCAGATATAAAGCCTTGAAGCATGTGATTTACAGCAGCGTATTTAAGTTAAAGATTTAATCTCACGTCTGTGAACTAATGATTAAACAACATTGGGGTGTTCACATTAATTTTAATTTTATTTCGTGTACTCAATCGTTATGTTAGATGTCCAGGGAACTACACAAGTATACAAGAAGTTCTAACTAGTAACTGACTCTAGGCTTATGCATCAACCATCAACAGTTCCCAAAAATTGAATGAAAGGTAGAGAAGATTCATATTAATTTATATATTTAGAGGTTTGAGCACACACACAATAAAACCAAGAGATTAGTTCAAATTATCACAACATGCAGTTAGATCATTCTTATTTAATTACATATCGCAAGTTACTACCGATTCACCTGTATATACAATTCATATTTCAAATTCCCACATGTACTACGCTGCATTTTAGAATGTACACCTAAGACATACAAAAATTTACTACGATGCTAGTGTGAGGGACAGTCATTCAGAAATATCATGATAGGGAAAAGTTCAAGCTCTTAAGGTGTACGGATAAAGTAAACACTTCAATATATATAAAAACAGAGTGCAGACCCACATACGGACGATGATTCATGTTAAAAGATTTGCATGCTTATGTACCTATTGCACCAACGTATGATTGCTACAACCACTGGAACTTCTAAGCATGGAAGGTACATTTTATGCATTGGACGTATATGGGGTTTGTATTATATGCAAGTGTATGTAATACTCAGAAGTTGTAGGTTTGGACAAAATTAATAAAACTCGTTTAAAATGATTAAAGAGGTCATACACAGTATGCCATACGAAACAGGCGTTGATTAGCACCTAAGGTCAATTAACTAGGTCTTAGTACACAATAAATTGATTAGCACCTTCAATCAATTAGACTACAAAGTTTAGTTTAAATCCATGATTGCAAATAGTATTTTGCATGTATAAGATTACACCTTGAGAACAGTAAATTAGAGTAAAGACAAGCATTCTTCAGTGGAACAAGTTTAGACATATCAAGAGAGTTCTATCAACATGGTAAGACATACTTTGTAAAATTTATTGAGTGTGTTGTGTGTTGGTGAACAGAAAATCACAGATGCAATGAAAGTGAAAAATGCAACATTTAGCAAGATTGAAACAGAAAATTTGAATACTGGACAACCTATTCATACACATTCAGATCACCCAACCCCACAAGGAAAACTACAGACTTTGCTTCAAAAAAATGAGCTGATATTATAGAGCTTTCAACATGCACAAAACAGAATTTATCTATTGTATGGTTCTCTAATAGGCAATCTTATTTGTGATTTAGAAACCGATTACATAAATTAAATCTACATCATCTCAATCATTCGGCTACCGCAACAATAATTATGCCACTGTCCTTCTTGTTACATAAAATAATACAAACTGTCTTGAATATCTTGGACATAAAATTTTGTACTTGGGAAAATAGAGCTTTAAAATTTTGAGGTACCAAATGCTATTAAGTTTTCTCAATAGTCATTTCAACCAAAGTCAATTAAAACTAAAGCAAGGTTAAGTTGATCACAATTTCTACACTAACCCTTCCTTTCTTCAATTTAAAGTACCAATCCAACAAAACATGAAACATACCTAGATTTCAACCGCCTTAATCAAAACAAACAGGGAAAGATTGAGAGTGTGGATAATTACTTCTTATTGATCCTACCCTGACACATCCTCTAATGCTATCATGGAGTAAATGCAATTAAACTCTCTTTCATAACCGTGGATTATGCATGACACAACACATTATGAGTAAATTGTCTAGTTATATGCAGACACTTTATGAGCTGACAGGATATCTAACTGATGTACGTTATAATAATTGTGTATGTTCAATTCCTAAAATGCGAATTAATGCAAAGAAAGATTCATGATTCTTACCACTCACAAACTTAAAATAATTTTTTTTTCGCAGTCCCAATAACACACGTTTATACAATATCATTCTCGTTCATAATTTGCCTCACAACAATTATAAAAGAAATATATATGGGTCAATCGATTATTTTAGGATAACTCATAACAGCATAAAATGGAATCAAGTTTTCGGCAACAAAGCTTCAAACACTATAATGTGAAAAATCTAAATTGGTAAGTTCAACAATCATCTCATATAATCCGTTACTATAATCAGAAACAACACACTATATGCTAGTCCAAAAGTGGTCAAAATTACACAAAGCAAGTCAATGCATATGAGCTAGGACGACAAGTATCACTCGCATGAAGGACAGGGGGTAGGACACATCACCACTTATTTTACAGCTTCTTTCTCAAGAATGATGTCTAGTGCCAATTTACCATTAGAAAATTTGTAAAGATAGCAGACCCACATGTCTAAACCTTAATTAGTTCTAACTCTACTTTCTAAAGGTATTATCCGGATCTACTTAGATAAGTGACCTATCCCAACATAAGTTTGGCTACCTATAGTTTTCAGGTCAAATAACAAGTCCTTCGTATGGCTAAATAACTACATCAGTCATTATGATTATATCACTGCTACCCTTACTCAGATATGAGACCCAACAGGATTAGTGAAAAAAAATAGCAGTTTCTATTACCCAGCTATACGCTACAATCACCATACAAAAGAAAAAGTCATAAATCAGAAAAACAAATATGTAGCAGCAATCATTATTTGAAGATAACTTATTATCATCCACAGCTTAGGACATCACAAAAATGTTCACATCAAGTTTAGATATATAGAACCTTCATTATAATCCATAGGAAGCAGAATTTACAATCAATCACTAATTCAAGTAGCAATTCACTATTTCAAACCTAGTGCTCAGGCACAAGTGTACCCCGTGATAACCATGATTGTGCACACACAACTTGCGCGACAGTGAGTTGATCAGGCTCACCACCTAGCAAGGGAATGGGCACAGCCATGCTTAATACAATGTACTACCAGTATCATCACACCTTCAAATATCAGGTAATCTTAAACAGTAACCCATTCACAGCTAAGTTCAAACAGCAACAATCCAACGAACATATACAAATAATCAATATAACCAGGAAACAACAATTCAGCAACCACATAACAACAACAAATATTTCATCAAATACAGACACCTGGAATCAAAACTGCTCTGATACCAATTAGTGTAACACCCTCCCTTGTATGCTTCCAAGAGAGTTG